CCCCAATGTTTATAGCAGCACTTTCAACAATAGCCAAATTATGGAAAGAACCTAAATGTCCATCAACTAATGAATGGGTAAAGAAATTGTGGTTTATATATACAATGGAATACTACATGGCAATGAGAAAGAATGAAATGAAAATACTACATGGCAATGAGAAAGAATGGTCTTTTGTAGCAACGTGGATGGAACTGGAGAGTGTTATGCAAGTGAAATAAGTCATACAGAGAAAGACAGATACCATATGTTTTCACTCTTATGTGGATCCTGAGAAACTTAACAGAAGACCATGGGGGAGGGGAGGGGAAAAAAAGTTAGAGAGGGAGGGAGCCAAACCATAAGAGACTCTTACAAACTGAGAATAAACTGAGGGTTGATGGGGGTTAGGAGGGAGGGGAAAGTGGGTGATGGGCACTGAGGAGGGCACCTGTTGGGATGAGCACTGGGTGTTGTATGGAAACCAAGTTGACAATAAATTTCATATTAAAAACAATAAATAAATAAAAATTTAAAAAATTTAAGAAAAAATATTGGAAAAGGAAACCACTGAAGTATTTTAAAAGGAAACACAGGTGGGTAGAGGTTATAAAGGAGGTACTTATACTATTCTTTCAACTTTTCTGTCAGTTTGAAGTTATACCAAAATAAAAAGTTGCCAAAAAATTAAAGACTTTCCTATATACTGGGTTACTAATATAGGAAAGGTAAATGAAAACGAGATCAAATTTGTTAGAGGAACAAAAAGTATAATGCAGCTGGATATAAGCAAAAATGTGGAAGACCGCTTACAGAGAAATATGCTCAAAGAGAGGCAGATTCAATAATGAAAAGATACAAATTCTCCAACAAATTAATGCACAAAATTCCATGTACTTCCAGTCCAAATTCACATGGAAATTTTCATGTACTGGACAGGCTAATTCCAAAATTCATATTCAGGATTAATAAACTTATAATTTTGAAAAAGAAGAAAGGCAAGGGGGTAACTGTCTTACAAAATACAAAAAACATATATAAAGCTACAGTCATGTAAAAAGTATGATATTTGAAAAAAAAACCAAAGAGGAGGGAAACCATAAGCGACTCTTAACTCTTATAGAGAACAAGCTGAGGGCTGCTGGAGGGAAGGTGGGTAGGGGATGCACTAGATTTGGGATGGGGATTAAGGAGGGCACTTGTAATGAGTACTGGTGTTGTATGTAAGTGATGAATCACTAAATTCTACTGCTGAAACCAATATTACACTATATGTTGACTAACTAGAATAAAAAAAAATTATGGTATTTGTGCAGAATAGATGAACAGGTTAAGGGAACATAATAGAGTTTCAAAACAGCCCCAAGTATACATGGAAATATGTTTATGTTAAAGGTGTCATTTCATAACAGTAGAGAAAAGATATATTATTCAATAACTAGTTTTGGAGAAAAAGAATATTTGACAAATTTGACTCTGGATTCATATCATTCAAAACAGTAAATTACTGATAGATCAAAATATAAAAAATAAAATTATTATACAGTGACAATCTTGAGGTAGGAATGGCCATTTTAATATATATGAAAATCATAAAAGATAAATTTGTCTATATGAAAAGAAACCTGTTTTGCAAACAATATAAAAAAACAATGTTAAGTGGCAAGTTCCTGACCTACCTAGGATCCATGGAATAATAAAATTGTGTGTATGTGTGGGTAGTCCTACATTTTTCCATTGAGAGGATCCATAGCTTTCTATAGAATTCCTATGCAATTCATAAGCTAAAAATATTGAGAACCCTGTCCTTGAAGTGACAAAAGTGATTAACTTCATTCAGATGGGTCATTACACTGAGCTAATCCAGGATGTGACAAGTAGCCTGGGGGTCACATAGAGCCTGTAGCCTGTTTTCATACAGCTTGCAAGATAAGAATGGTCTTTACATTCTAAAAATGTTGTAAGACAAAAACAAAACAAAGAAGACCATGAAACAGATATGTACACGATCGGGAGATAGAGAAAGATGGCGGCGTAGGAGGACGCTGGGCTCACCGCGCGTCCTGCTGATCACTTAGATTCCACCTACACCTGCCTAAATAACCCAGAAAACCACCAGAGGATTAGCA